AAATCACATACCCTGCCTTTAAATGTTCACCCTACATACATACAGTGGAAGAAATGTAAAATATTGGTGTCAATGTACAGAAAAAAACCCTCAAACTAACAAAATCAGATTGCAATACTTCATAAATAACATTATATGTATTTAAAATATTATAATAAACATTAAAAAATGTTTTGATATCATTTTTCCAGAGTCCTGTATTTGAAAGTCTGTTATTCAGGTTATGTGTGCTCTAGGGACCTGCTGATTATTTTGTTTGATTCCCCTAGGTGGCAGAATATACTACAGTAGAAAAAATAATTCCTCCTCTCATTTTCTATACAAGAGTTATTGAAATATAACTGAAGGAAGGCGACTTGTCCTATTTAGCGTCTACAAGTGTCCTTTGCAATAACAGGTTTTGTAAACTACATTACCCAAAATATTAAAATTTTCTATATGCTATAGCAGTTTTCTTGATTATTGCTTGATTTTCTTCATTTGTTATTTTTGTCTCTGAGATGCACAACTAGTAATATGCAAAATGGTATAAACGAATGAGACCAAATATAGTTTTTGTGATTACAATATAGAACATGTTCCACATCCTCCAAATTTGTATAATTTCACTTCTGTGCAACACTAGGATTTTGTCCCCTATGTTAAGCATCACCTTCCTCTGGCCTGCCTCCTGGAGATGTGAGGCCCCTCTGTGCCAAGCACTGGTGGTCCATAATCTTCATCAGAAACGGAAACAAAGAAATACGTTTTTATGCACACAGTTGTTTGCACTGCAATAATATCTATTTCACAATATCAAAACATACATTTACTCAAATGACACTTTTACATATTTTGTCAAATAACAGGTTATTGGCTTAGCTGCTGTGCTTTTACATTTCAAAATTATAATTCTATCAAATAAATGCGTATTCTCATTGTAAATACAGTAATATATGAGCTTACCAGTCAAAAGCAGAGTCCTGCCCTATCCCTTTCTTCAGGAAAAGTGAGCTCAGTTTTTCTCAGAGTCATTGGTGAGTGACCCACCTCTTGAGAACTAACGATTTAAATAATACTGTGTTAAAAATGCACAAATTAAGGAATTAACCAAGTGACTTCAGCTTTAATGAGGATCTGAGTTATTTTTGATAACTGAGATATTACCAACCCAACACTGTACCCATCCAAACACATCTGAACCTGAGCTATGTGAATCAAGTAATGAATGATAGGTTTAATGTTCAAAAAATTACCATTTTTGGGTTCTAACATTTTTAAAAATGTTTTTCTTGCCTGACATAAACAATGCTAAAATGCTAGTTTTGTCTATCCATGTTTACAGCATGTCATGCCTTATATGTGGTGTAGGAATGTGTCTATGTTGTGTTTTTCTGTATACAGACTGCATTAGACAAGACACATGTTGTTTGGAAGAGCAGCTGGGATCTGAAGCCAAAATGCTTTCTTGTGGTCTTCCATGAAGTGAAGTGGCTGACAACAGACTGGTTATGGAGAGTAGGATTCAACTGGTCATGTGATCTCATGAGAACTTGATCTCAGCTGCTCCATGCAACCCTGGTGACCAAAAGTTTGAAATAATTAAGATTTGTTATTTTTTTTATTTTTTATTTTTGAAAGAAGTCTCTTATGCTCACTGAGGCTGCATTCATTTGATCACAAATACAGTAATAATAGGAATATTGTGAAATAATATTGCAATTTAAAAGAACTGTTTTCTATTTTAATATATTTTAAAATGTAATTTATTTCTATGATGCAAAGTTGAATTTTTGTGTCTTCAGTGTCACTTCAGGAATCAATATACTGATTTGCTGCTGAATTATTGTTGGTGCTCAATTATTAATAATGTTTTTTTATGATTATAAACACCAGATTTCATGTCTTTGACACCAAATGCCATTGGTTCTCACAAATGCCTTTATCCATTACAGAGTGCCAACTTGAATGTGAATGATATTAAAGCTATAAAATAAGTTGAGAAGATCTGGAAATTTAGCACATAATCAGTATAATGCTTTTTTTGCACATTTTAGTTTATTCAATAGAGAAAACAACCACTTAAAGGCGTGGAATGACATGAGGGTGAGAAATTATGACATGATTTTCCTTTTTTTGTTGAACTAAATTAGATTAAACTAAGAATTTAAGGAAGCAACAAACACACAGCTGTCAACATCTGCAATAATCCAAAAGGGGAATGTGAACACATTGCGTTCAAGCTATTTAATGGTTAGGATAAACAAATGATAAATCTATCATGCACTTGTGGGTCTGTATATACAGGTTTTTGAAGTCATCTTCTCCTAAAATGGAAATTGTGGTGTTGAGGAGTGGTTTGATAAGTTTGTATGAACAGTTTCTGATTTTTAGTTTCTCATTCAGAGTCTTCGGGTTGGACTCGTCCCATCCATGCCTGGGCTCTGTGTAAGTTCACCTCTTTACTCTCTTCCTTTATTATATTTAGATTATATTCAGAGCTGTTTGTACCGAGGTAATCATATGATTTATAGTATTTTTAAAATCATTAGTTTGTGAGAATGCCTATGTTTATAAGAAATACTTCACAGAAAAGATGACTTGAGTTTTTCAGGTTTGTTTAAAAAACTATTAAAGCAATCTTAAGCATAGATTTTATTTATGTGTTTAATTCAAGTCCCTTTTTCTGGATTCAGATCTATCATGAGTGTCATGTTCACTAGCCAGTATTTTCATAGACTCAGGCCTGATTTTAAACACATTAGGAAAGAAGCATAGAGCTGGCTATCAATCCTTTGCTAAATCTGGGGACACTTTTGAAGCTGCATTTCAAATCTATAGGAGCTCTGCTTCCGTTATTGTTACTGGCTTGGGATGAATATGAATTAGAAATATTAGAAAAGTTTTAGTGTGAAACTTGCCTGTTGAATAGCATTTGAAAATATGAGCGTTTGGTTACATTTCAAGACAAAATGATACCAAGCCAGTTTATGTTGACTAAATGCTAAGTCTTCACTTATAAAATGTAACATTGAATTAAATAATTCCTATAATTGATTTTAATTTTAATATGATTTAATTTAAATTTAGTTGTAATTCTATAGGTGTATGTATATATATATATATATATATATATATATATTAGTGCAGTCAGTCTATTAAAAAATTAACTAATTAACCACACCTTTTTTTTCTTAAATTAATCACGATTAATCCCACCTAACATTAAAGTTTTTAAATATAATTTTATATTACAATAATTTCACATTCAATCTTTAATGAATTTAATGAATTGAATGAATTCAAATTAATGTAGAAACAGCATAAAGAACAGTATATTTTTAATATTTGTTTAATGGCATCTTTTTTATGACTGAAGACAAGTATCACTGATACCAATATTATTGATGCCTCTATTGTTGTTTTCCCCCATTATTTAACCATTGACTAGCCATTCAACATTACAGTATAATTGAGAGCTATCAATTTGAACATTTATTAGACTTTAAAAAATAACAACTAATTTAAGGGAACTTAAAACAGTATAACGGCTGACAGACATAGTCGGTTCAACGTACAGTATATAAATATAAATATTAAAATAGGTACCCCTTAGCTTCAATATACTTAGTATAAATAATTTGTAATTTTCCAGGTTAATACCTCTTTATTCCCTAAATGTTGCAGACAGGCTACTGTATAGGTACACTATAATTACAGGTACGCTGTAAATTCGGTTTACTTACACTGTAAATTGCGGGCTGTAATCTACAGCGTTACCATATTTTGTAAAAACGGTGATTAAATAATATTGAAGACTGATAAAATGAATCATAATAGTTTATCATTTTGTAGTAGTTTATAATTTATTTACATTTATGTTCACTAATTGTGAACATGAAACACTGAAGGACCTGAAAGTGAATGATGTTTCTAAACCATCTGTCCTTGAGATGCTTGAGATGTCTGCCTGTTCTTCATCTGCCGGTCTGGATGTTCATCTCAAATAAATGTTTTGTTTAACTGTAGGCAGATGTTCTGAGGATGTAAGAGTAATTGAGAGACGATCCACAAACATTAGCCCTTAAGAGGAGAACCCTCTCAGTGCTGTCCTACATAAACAATCAGACAACAGTGGATGTGTTTTAGCTCATCCTTGAAATGTTTATCTGAGAAACATGACATGCATACATTACATATTTTTGTATCTGAAGATTTGTTAAATATATGTATAGATTTGGAGTTGCTCCATTTGTGTGCAGTGTAACAAATCCGCAAGACCGAAATGTAATTTCGTCAAATGCTGCTGCAAGCATGCTGTACTGGTGGTGTGCATTTGATCTGTTTAAAATAGTTTGTGATTTTGCTGACCTAATGGCCATTGTTTACACAAATAAACATGAAGTGCGCCATTTGGGACAAGGCCTTTGTGTGCTAAGAAGTATAAGTGGTCGTAGGCCAGTAACTCACAAAAACGGTAGCTCACATATCTCAATTTATCAGTCTTTACAAACATTCTGTTTGTTATTTTCATATAAAACAGGAAAGATCAGTGGGAAAATGCAAAGATCTCATTCTCTTTCAACTTGTATAATTTTTTTTACATGCATATTATTTTTGTAATTCTGTTTGGTGATGCAAGTTGTGCAGAAACTTTTAACATCATTGGTTGCTTTTTTTCAGGGAACAAGCATGGAGAAGGAGTGGGGATTACTTGGCTTCCTTGTTCTGTCATTATGTTTTCTTGTCAGCAATGGCCAAAACATTGGTAGGGACAGGATTTACTAGATTAGATTATTGGTAAATTTATTTTCAATTCTGATTGTTGTTTTCTTCTCTCAGTCTGTGCACAGAACACAGTGGCTGACATTGTATTCCTGGTGGATGGCTCAAACAGTATTGGGCCGGCGAACTTCCAACAAATCCGTGAATTCCTCTCCTCGCTCGTAGAGAAATTTGAAGTTACTCCTGACAGAATCAGGGTCGGTTTGGTCCAGTACAGTGACACGCCGTATACTGAATTTTCGCTCAGCACTTACCAGAACAAAGAGGAAATTCTCAGCTACATCAAAAATCTTCGTTATAAAACCGGCGGGACGTTTACTGGCAAGGGTTTGGAGTTCATGCTGAAACAACACTTTGTTGAAAAGGCCGGAAGTCGAGCACAGCAGAATGTTCCTCAGATTGCCATTGTTATCACAGATGGTGACTCTCAAGATGAGGTCAAGTCACAGGCTCAGGAGCTGAGGCAAAGGGGAATCAAAATATTCGCCATTGGGATCAAAGATGCAAACGAGACGTTACTGAGACAGATCGCGAGCGAGCCGTATGATCAGCACGTCTACAGCGTATCAGACTTTGCAGCTCTGCAGGGAATCTCTCAGAGTGTAATCTGGAAAGTGTGTACCGCTGTAGAGGAAACACAAAAAGAGGTCATCCTGATGTCAAGAGGTAACATATTACATTGTAAAACGATTAATTATGTGCATGAAATTTAGTATGGCTTCTGGGTCACGTTTTTACTGTTAATTTTTTAATGAAAGAACCTACTGAGAGATCAGTAGCCAGTTGCAAAACCCTTAAGCTCTTTATTGACTTATATTCAAGGTATTTTTTAGAAACTTTGAATATTAGTTTGACAAAGTCTTGCTTGGGTGTTTAAAACATTTTGAGGGTTGGTTTGAAGTCCGAAGGTTATGTAGTTGTATCAAATATTTGAAAATTTGTATCAAATCAAAAACAGTTCCAAGCAAGATTCAGAACGTTCTGTCAATGTAAATTGGG